CCAACCCAAACCATTCTATGATTCTGTGAGGCTGGAGGCACTGAGCAGAGCTGACTCTGATAATGGTTCTGAAATCCTGAGTTCATATTTATACAGACTATGAAGCCTGAAGTAGGAGATGTCCTTGGCTGGCTGCGGGACACCCCGCTCTGCTGCTGTTAACTTTTAAGTGTGTATCAACAGATTATTCTTCCTTCCCCAGGTTCAGCACAAGCGATGGGAAAAAAAAAGATTCAGTCCTGCTGCTGTCGTCTATAAACTTACCTGGTGGGGAACTGGTGAGTGTAGTTCACGCAGAGCGGCGCCAGAGCCGTGTGGTCTCCTGCTTGCATGGGAGCTCTGGCGCCCTTCACACAGTACGCAAGGGTAGTGTTGGGCTTTGGGAGGGGGTCTGCATTGCTCCAGTATGTTTAACTCTCGGTGTTATTTGGACATAAACACTTCAGTGATCTGAAGATGTGCCTTTGGCAGCCGGACTGCATTTTGCTTGGCACCCAGCGGTCCCCCCGCAGTGTGTTAACTGATGTTTTCTCTTCAGAGCTACTCGTAACTTCTCTTGCATTGTGCAAGAAAATCATGGGTGGAGAGCAGGGGCGGCCATGAGAGGAGATCAGTTTGCCCTTAGTGGCACGATTCAGTTTTGGGCTTGACAGTCCTGGACTGATGGTTGGGCTCAATGATCATACAGGTCTTTTCCAACCTAGTTGATTCTGTGATTCTGTGATTCTGTGATTTCAGAGAAGGAGATCAATAGAAGATGAGCTTGCAATGAGGGACTGTCTGCAGGAAGGGGACCTCATCAGTGTATCCTTCTACTGCCTGCACTCAGAAGAACCAAGGGCATGGGGAGGTGGTAACGAGCCTGGGTGGTAGTGAGAGATCTCTGCTGCAGGCAGCCAGTGGCTGGTGGCACTGGGCAGCGTTAGGGACTTTGTTTCCTTAAGTGGCACTGACAGGCAGAGGTGCAGTCTGTATTTGCTGATGGGGCATTATCGCTGCACACCCGGAGTCTGAAATACGGGAAGGTAAGTTGTTCAAAAGCACTTGATCTTGGCCTAAATCTGCTCCATGTGACATCCTTTTGGAGGGATTTTTAAGAGAACAGCTTTGGAGTAGAGCAAATGTTGTTGTAACTCGTTCCTGCAGACGGAGGAAGAATATTAGCTCCTCTGTGGTTACACCAAGTAGAGTTTCCCCAAAGCAGAGGAAGTGCCCTTGAATTGCCCCTTTGAGCTGTTGTTCTCCCAGTCCACAATTACATCCTGCAAAGCCTGTTTCCCCCACTGTCCGCTTGGGAATTAAGCCCTGGGGAGAAATCTTTTGACTCAAACTTCATCACTGCTTTTCTGTGGGCCATTGCCCCTGTGACTTCTTTCTTTCTCTCCAGGGCTCTATTTTAGGCTTTATGCAGTTGGCATTTATCTCTGGTTTTGTGCACTGAAATAAGCCAAGGGGCCGTTGGAGTGCAGGCTGCAGTTTGGGATTACCAGACCAAGGGTATTAGCACTTAAAAGATGAAAGGGAAGTGTTCTTATTGCACAAAGGGCGAAGGACAGTGATTGGATTAAGAAGGAAAATGTTCTGCTAAATTGGGCCTCTCACTCCTCGTTTTTCTGCAGGGATGGTTGATGTGTAGTTATGATCAAGATATTATTAACATTTGTGCCAAGCACTTAGAGTATTCTTCATCTTCAAAGGGCTGCTCAGGCATTAACTAATCCTCGCAGCAGCACTCCCAGAGGCAGGCAGGTTTTATATTCATTGTTCCACAGGAAAAGGTGTTAAAATTGACTGGTTCCTAGACTGGGAACGGAGTGCATGTCGGTGACTTGATGTGATCTGTGGTGGCTCATATCTCTCACGCTGAGTCTCATGGTCTCCTCTTCAGCTTTCCCAGGGTGTGCTCGTTCAGGTCTCTCCGTCTCTTGTGAAACGCCAGAAGACTCACTTCCATGACCTGCCCTGTGGTGCATCTGTGATCCTCGGCAACAACGGTTACATCTGGATCTATCCAACTTCAGAGCAGAGAGATGAAGAGACGGGGGGCTTCACCACCAACTTGGAGGTGAGGGTTCAGGGAAGATCGGCCTTCTCCTCCCAATGATGTTTTCTTAGTCTAACGTAGTCAGAGGCACGTGAACAATCTGAGACTTTCCAGATTTGGCATTAGGTTCATGGCAAAGCTTTTTTTACAGTAGGCTTGCATTATTTCCCTGTGTATTAATCTCTTTTCCTTTGTCCTTCCTCAGCCTGTTTCCATGTCTGACCGGGAGGTGATCTCACGGGTCCGAAACTGCATTGTAGCTCTGGTTACTCATAAGTTGATGCTCTTTGACACCAGCGTCCTATATTGCTATGAAGCATCCCTTCCTCATCAGGTACAGAAACTGGTGGTGTTTACTTTATTCCATGCTGTGGGGAGGGAATGGAAAGGCCTCCTCAGTTGCTGAAGTTAGGTGGTGAGGCTTCCTTTTGGCTTTCCAAAGCATCCTGGTAGTAAGTGACAATATGAACTTCCCCCCTTCTTCCATAGTCTTATTTGACCACGACCCTCTAAATTCACTGCTCATTGCTATGTGTCAGGGACCTCCGTCCCCAGGGAGTGTGCAAAAGTAGTAGTTGATTTTTGGTGCCAATGTTACTTTTCTTTCCACTGCAGATCAAGGACATTCTCAAACCGGAGGTGATGGAGGAGATCGTTCTGGAGACCCAACACAGGTTGCTGGATCTGGAGGGATAGGGCACATGGCCAGAAGCAGTCATTTGAAGTCCCAGCGTGGCAGCGTTTGATTCCCAGTATTTTATGATTTCTTTTTTTCAGTGTTCTAGTCCCCAACATTCATTCCATGCTTCAGAAACCACCAGAATTCCTCATTTTAACTCCTGGGATACGTCTTGAGCCCTTTTAGTACAGTAGTACTAAGCAGTGCTTAAGTACAACAGCCTTTTAGTGCAGTAGCCTGAAAAATTGGTATCTGACCTTTGTGAAGATGCAGGGACAACTGGGACATATCCCATAGCACTTGTTGCTGTGTCTAGTGCCCCTGAATATCGTGCAGAGTGATAGAGAGGAAGGGATGTGTTTTGTGATGCTTCCCTCTCCCCCAAAGCTTTCTAAATGGTTTTGATTTGCCTTTACTGTGATACAGATTTGCCAGCGTGCCCTCTGATTGAGAGCTCTTTTTCTCTCTTGTACCTGTGATATACAGTCTTAGTCTGTAGAGAACAGGAATATCCACACTTTTGCTAACCACATTTTGGGTCTGGCTGTTTGTGGCTGAAGGGTATGAGGTTGGAGGTGGCATGATGTCCACATGAGCCAGGAGCCATGGGCAAGCAGTGTCTTCACTGTCTGCGTGTGTTCTGCTGGTCCCTTTATTATGCCTGTTGTAGTGAGCTCTTCCTCTGAGGAGGCTCCAGGATTGTTTTCTATTAAATATTTTATATTTCAATAAATTTTTGAAACAGATCAGTCATTCAGGAGTGTGTGCATTAGCTTGTTTTTCTCCAGAATGAATTGGGTCTAGCTGGAGAGCCACAGCTGGCTCATTTCATTGTGCCAGGGCAGTCAGAATGGTTGCAACATCCTGTTATCTCCCCCTCAGCCGCTGCTCTTTACACCATCCAAGCAGGACTTAACCTTCCTCTTCAGCATATCTTCTGTGCTGCATTCCTATATAAATAGATTGCCTGGTGTTGTTCACAGTGGCTCTGTCAACATTGCTGCCCTGCAGGATCCCATGGAAAGGTGAGTCTTGCATCATCTCTGCCGGGGGGGGGGGGGGAGGTGTACAGGGAGCCCAGTATGATGCTGGTGAAGATCCCAGGCCAGTGGTTAGAGGTGGACATGCTAAGCCAGATGCAGGCAATCACTTTTCTCTGTACAGAATGGATGTGATGCTTTCCTCGGAGCATCCTCTCAGATGTCTGGTGCTATATTAGATCTGTGTTATGCATATTGTGTATATCTATTGTATTTGTATTGTATTAGAGCTGCTTGAACCACAGTGCTGTAATTCTTTAAAAGGATGAAAAAGCAAAATGTCAGCCCTAATTGTCCCTGAATCTAATTATAACGTTGCAAATTCTCTTGCTCGCCCCAGGCAAAAGGAAAAATCCTTTGCTCAATCTTTTCCTGGGAACTAGAAATACCCTTCGGTGCTTGTCGCCTAATTGAGGCTGCTCTGCCTCTGGTCCAGAGCAAGCACTAGGTGGCAGCTTCGGATCGTGTTTGTAGCATTCCCCTTCCCCGGCTGCTCTGCCTCATTGCCCTGCCAAATAGCGAAGGCTGGATGTCTGCCACCAGTGCTGCTGCCTAAATACTAGAGCATTATGGAGCTCAGTGGCTAAGGACAAGCAAGGACATGGCTAATCCGTTCTGCTGCTGCACAGCTCGAACTTCTGCCCGTGCTGCCTCTGTAAAATAATACTTACCTTGGGGATATTGCTGGAATGCTCAACAGAAGACCTCGGAATTGTTAATTTTGAGTTTTATGAGGATTCCCTAATAAGTGTTGCAACAATTACATCCTCAGGATGACTTGGGACATCTGAAAACTAAAGCTCGATGGTGACACTTCCAGGTCTATGCAGGAGGCTGGTGGCAGCATTATCCACATCTGTGTGGACAGGAACAGTGCAAAAAGGCTGAAAGGTTTAGCAGCATCTGCATCTTTTAATTAGAAAAGCACCTCTTTTTTTCCCTATCCAGTTGCTGTAGTTTAGCAGCTGTTTGTCTTACTATGATATGGGGAGATTCAGGGATTTCTGCTGTGAGGCTTCTAGGTATATGCAGATTGGGAATATCTAAGCAATGAGAGAAAGTATTTGATGTTCACTTTTTTTAAAGCGTTTTTGAAGGCTGATGGAGAGCTCTGCAGTTAATCCAGTAGATCTCTTTGCATCTCTGCCACTTAAACAACTCTGTCAGTTAAAGAGCAAAAGGGTGAAGAGACTGTACTTTGGTACCACCTGGAGAGATTTGATACCTGAAAATGGTTCTGCTGAGCTGGTACAGGAATGCAGAATGCTTCTCTGTCCTCAAGCAGCCTCTTTGCAGGTACTTAACAGGTCACAAGGGGTTTGGGGGGTGGTAGGAGGTGTGAAGTGCTGTTGGTGATGTGGTGGAAACACGCTTGAGGAAGTGTGCTCTGGGGGTTAATTTAGAGTTGGATCGTGCTCATGGGTATGAAGCATGAGCTGTCAGACCTGCAAGGTAAAACAGCACCAGGTTCTTATAACAGATCTTGATAAACGGGTGCTGATGTCTGCAGCATACTGTGTGGGCTGCACAGCTGAGTTCTTAGAGGTACTTTTTTTTCCTCTCTCCTCTATTTTTTTTCCTCTCTACAGAGCAGTCTTTAAAACTGTGGTCTATCTCCAGGTTTCTTATGCTAGCCCTCTCTCCACACTGTGAACCTTTTTTGGTTATCAGTAAATGAGTATACAGCCTACAAACCAATGAGCTCAAGATCTGGACTGCTTCAACTCTGAGCTTTCCAATTCCTCCTGCTTGCTGCATTCCTGATATTTTGGCCTTAGGGATGTGTTAAATGGGGGAGACTGTGTGACTCATCCAGTTCCTATGCTCCTGAATACTTTTGTTTTTAAGGCTAAGAACAAGAGCACCAGCTGGTAAGGTTTGATTATGGATCTTTCCTGATGTGGGCAGAGAACTGAAGGTACCAGTATTTCGCTCCTTGTCCATGAAGGGGGTATTTGCTGTTCTTTGCAAATTCAGCCAGTGCTGTGCCAAGCCCAGACCTCAATTCTGTAACAAGCTTCAGTGAGGTCATTGCTGGCAGTTCCTGCAGCCTCATCAAGCACAGCTTTGCAAGCCAGCAGGTAACAAGAGATGACAGTGACAAAACTGTGTGGGGAGGGAGAAACTTCCTGAGCAGTTTCAAAGGTGTCTGAGAAAGGTACCAGGACACCTGCCATTTACGGTTGATTTGGCTGAATCCCCACGACTTTTCTTTCTCTTGACAAATGTCAAGGGCCACCAGTGCTCATGCATCTTTAAAGCAGCTGGATGTGCTGCTTGGGCTTCTGGTTTCCATAGGGAGAGGCTTCATGACCCACAGTATGGCAAATGGCTTTTCCCTAACGCCCAGCAGATATGAGTGGGTTGTCAGATGGGACCTGGGGGAGGCTTGGCAAACAGTGTCAGCTCCTGTATTTCAGGTAGATGGGGGAGCTGGGGCCCCTTTTTCCATAGGCAGGTCCACACGAGAAGATGGGCAGGCTATATAAAAAAAGCCTTTGAAATGGGAAGTGCTTGAGATGTAAAGGAGAACTCCAGTAAAAGCAGCGCCCTCTTTAATTCCTGAACTAGTCTGTGGGATTTTTCTAGGCATCTTGGAAGCAGGAAGGGTGAAAAGGAAGAAGCCATGGCTTTTCTGGTCTGAGAACAAAACCATAGTCGAAACTGGGGTGGGAAAAACCTAGTAAGTCTGTAGTTTTTATATGAGAATCTAAATGCCAGGCATTAAAGCAGCTTAGACCAATCTGATTTCTTTGGTCTCCAGTGTGTGATGGTGTGAAGCCTGTTTGTAAACAGGCTATAGCACCTGCCTGTGCTGCTTATTCCAGGGTTAATACAGGGCACAGACGTGCTTGAAAGTGGAGGTAATAAACGGTTCCCTCACTGGTGAGTGCTGCCTGCAGAAATGAGAACACAAAATCACTCATCTGCAGGAATAATTTTCCTGTTTCTTGGTGCCAGCGTTTGATTCATTTACTAATGTGAAGAATGCCAACCCCTCTCTTTACTCCTAGTAATAACCATTGGGACTTTAAATTTGTGCTAATGGGTTATTAATCCAATTACTGCTGCTTATTATGCTACTTCTGTATCATCCGCATGCAGTTCTGTTGTTCAGTTGAAGTGAATGGTACAAATACAAAGCTTTGAGCAGACCTTAGAAGATACTGAAGCCCCACTGAGATTATCAGTCTTGAAATGGTTGTCTCGGGCTCCTGAGGACTGTTAATTAATATGCTAAGGTTTATTATTTGATAAAAGGATTGAAGCTTAAAGATACTGTTCTGGAGGAAATGGAGGAAATCTCCCTGGAGCTGCTGGGTGTAACAACTCACACTTAATGGAAGGTAAGAAAAAGCACTGACATTTCTTTTGTGAAATCTGTGGGATGTACCCAGGCCATAGGTAGGGCTTGACTGAAAGAAACAGTCTGTAGGCTTTTTAATTTATTCTGCATTCACACAATCTTCTATCTTTGTCTTTAACAATTTCTAAATCCACCAGGCAACTTCAACTTTGTTAACGTGAAACAATCATGTTCACAGAACTGGCAAGCACCTAGTCTATTAAATAACCAGTAATTCATCTGCACAGATCTCAGTGAGGGAGGAAGAAGCGTATATGCAGCCTGTGTTGTCCGGAACACAAGTCCTGCTTATTTGCAATTACCTTTAGCTTATTTTGGTCAAGGTCTCCAGAGCACACAGACCTTCTGGCGTTCACTCTGCTTTGGTACTGGTTTCTATAGCTGATTTCTCTGAGGCTGCTCGGCCTGTGTTGACAGACAGCTTTGTTCCCTTAGTTTCCTTCAATCCACAGGAGCTGAGCAGGGGTTAGATCACCACAGTGAGCAGCTGATCTCCATTAATGATTTAAACC